TGCAAAGTTCTTCGGGGGGGGATCATATCCGCAATAACAGGCGATCCGATAAACGAGTAATCTCGTTTTCATAGTTGGTGAAATTTTATCGAGGAAAAAAAAATTATCGTCGCAAACTGATTCATCAGTTTGGCTCGGTTTGTTTTGGTAAACAGTCGTAAGAAAAATTGCGTAGGAGCTCGATTTTCATCACGAGTTCCTCCTATCTCTCTGTGTTACGATACTTGACGATAGATTAACATTGATTTCAATTGGTGCTCGAGTGTCGATAGTTCGAATCGCCGGTTGAGAATGTTTGCGAACTACTCTTCCTGCCAAGCGCAGTTGAATACTTTTCACGTCTGTTTTTTTAACTCCTTCTGCGAAAGGGTGCTGAATAATTCATAGTTCCTGGAAACTCCAGCCGGGATGAGAATTTACAAAACGAGAGTTGTAACTGTGTTGTTATTCGACTCTCCGAGATATTTCATACGATGTAATTGATATACTCGTTACCATACTTCGTATCATTGTTGCGTAATGAGGTGAAAAATACGTCGACTATTTTTTTCTGCTAGATAAAAAGATGGAAATCCTTCTTTTCTAGGTAAGTAATTACTTCCAACGGGTATTAATCGACGTTCTCGAGTAATTCGAAGGAAATGGAACAACTTGTTCACCCATTCGAGATCGTTCAATCTTTGGATTTGATGGAAGGGACGTGCGATCCCTCGACCAGAGCAACCTCACTCGTTGATAGAGTAAAAACTCGGTCAGACTCTGTCCTCGGTGGCTACCATCGTGGAGAACATGCTAGAAGCATCCTAATCGTATTTTTCAAATGGTGTCTCGCATGTGCATGCGTAATACGCATGCAAGGGAACGAGATAACGTTGTGTGCAAATTGGCAGTGCTTCTCAAACTTCTTTTAACATTTTCTCCTCTTTTTTACCATTAATCGTTATTTCTTTAAACAATTTCGAGTGTTGAACAGTCGAATTTACCTTTTCCCGCCAAAATATTATTCTCTTACGCGTGAAAAGTTTCAATTTTTTCTAGCGAAAATTGTAGCCTAATCTAACACACACGTTGTACAGTGGTTCGAAATTGAATTGCAATCGTTTCTCCGTTGCTAAATTTACTTCGGTTCGATTAGAATAGAATATCGAATGAAAGAACGACGTAAGCGTTTATCAGCGAAACAACTATTACTCATCGACCTGTACTATCGCAATAAAAATCCCATAGTCGGTTCTAGAACCGCTGCGGAGCGGTTGTAGCTGGTGAGGAAGCAGCTGTTTAGCTTTCAAGCTTTAATCTCGATGTGCACAGGCCAATGCACGATTCACGGCTGCACGCGTGCATAGAATAAACGTTTCAAGGAGAACGAATTATTAGATAACGCTCTGATAAACGTCGAACTGATGTCAATTTCATTCAGAAGCAATTATCAGCAACAAAGTTTCGTTTCGAGTGAAAGGGAAGCAAACACGTCGAACGAATAGAGACGGAAGAGAAATATTACGAAATCATAGTAAATTGCCGGTTACTCTCGGATAGAGAACGTCGATAACACGCGTCCTTGTTCGATGTAGTCGTTCTTTAAACATTCCTATCCACGGCTGGACAAAAGAATCAACGAAACGTTTCGATGAAAGCACACGTACACACCGTTATTAACACCGTACTTCTCCCTTTCTCTGCGTGTGCACAATTTAATCTAGAAGACAAAGAGTGGAAGCGACGAAAGATAACAAGGTTGTGGTCAGAGTCAGCTGACAAATTGCACAAAGTCGATTACTCGAGCCCTCGAGCATCGAGAAACTTTCCTCCGCGAGTGTATTCGCTTGTATAGTAGATGGAAGCGATATATGCGAGGTTGTAAAATCAGTCAGGTGTCAAAATACACGCAATCCGAGAGTCTAAACAGGAATTCGTGGAAGATAACGAGCTCGAGCATCGTTCAGGGCCGTCGTTCTCTATTAACTCTGAATTAGTTCCTCCACTCTACTATATTTAAACAATTTGTCTGCACTTGAACCATAATGGAAGATTGTGAGCAGAAATCTGAGATATCAATTCACAAATAATTAACGACGCTGACGCTATATCTCTTCCATTAACTGTACAAACCGAAAGACGCACCCTAATTGTCACCGGTAACGAAGAGGGTTACTTGGAAAGTTCGTGTACCACGAATGAATGAATATTCTTGTTTTAAGTAGACGGAAGCGTTGCGGGGAATCTTACGCGAGGAATGACATACTATTTCGAGGTGGAGGATCGTAAAGGTTGTGGTCTGCGTCAGAAAGAGGCGGGCACGGATTCAAAGGCGAATTTATCGGGAGTTCAAACTCCAAGGGTTCGCCCACAAGCGAAAATGGCAGCACTCCAGCTGCTCTAATAATGCGCTTGCCACTCTATTTTCGTGGAAGCCTCTAGGAAACCAGTGGCACTGGCCGAATTCGAGGGACATTGCAACGCTGATTGGCCAACCTTGACCCCGTCGAAAGAGCTCAATATTCTTGAGCACCGGAGATGTCAGCTTGAGTAATAAGTTGGTTCATCTGTTTAAAAGTGTTTCTTAAACGATTGCCTATTTATGGAATCCAGGGAGAAAATAGCAGAGTCTTAAATATTCCGTACGAATTCAATTTCCTCGCTGTTGGAACTTTCATTTTCCTCTATTCTCTGTGTTATTGAAAGGAGACTTATCGAACGAGGAACATTAAGAAGTTCAAGGGGAGATCTGCGGATTATTTTCTACATCCCGAAAAACGACTTAGAAAGCTCGCGCACAGAGGAGGACATCTCGAGAAATGATATCTCGTCGTTTAGTGCAGCAGCGTTGTTATATAGATCCCCGCAAAAGCGGTCCACGTGAACCAGATTCGCCCAAGGTTTGGCCTTCGCGTAAGTTTAAAAGGCAAACGCAGCGTCAATATTTATTCAGAGAGAAAACATGCCCGTTATCGAATGCCGTATCGTTTTCATTTCTTAACTCGACATTTATCCAAAGTATTCTCTTTTCCTCTTTCCTTTCTTCTATCTCAAGATGGACTAAACACGTTCAAATGCACGACTCTGCTTGTTTACGAGCGTTGTAAAACATGAACGAAACGGTATGATTAATTCCAAACGGCGGACGAGGCGGATCAAAGGCGAAACAGGATGTTATTGCGGCTCGTGGGCTGCTGTCATTAGCATATTTGCTTGCAACCGCGTAATCAGCTCGACAAACAAACGCGGTGATAATTGTTCGCGATGTGAAAATCGCCACGATCTCGAACTCGCTGCGAAAATTCTGGCTAATTTTATATACGAGATGAGAGGTGATCGCGATGACGGTGACAGGATAGACGTCAGAATCGACAGAAACTTGTGCAAACGCGAGGATCTTCTAAAGATACACACTAGGTTCGATTTCGTCGATTCTGTACGCTTTGTATCGCGGATATGTAACGATAATAGAAGCGGACGGTCGATTCGTTAAGGAGAGGGAACAATGAGGGATATTGAAATAGGAGAGACCCGATGGACACGTTTAGCGACGTGTGAACACCTTGAAAACAATGCTGATTGACAGACGAAACACGTGTGATTTTACTGAATGAGGAAAATGTAATCCATTCAGTGGTCGACGTGTTTGTTACTCTTACAAAGAACTTGTAATCTAAAGATAACAAGGTATATGAGGATTAATATAAATGAACTTCTATGAGTTTATTTACAGAGACTGCTTCTTTTTCAATATTTTATTCAAAATTAGTAATTGTCATACAGATGTATATTTAGAGATTTTGTCACGATTTTATGTTTCGTTCATTTTTATTGCTACGTAGTCAGAAATTTTCTAACCGGCGAGCGCATAAAAGAGATTAACGAACCGCGTGATCGTACAGCAACGTATGACGCAAGTCCAATTCCCGCAAGAATCCACAGATTAATCTCAACTTCATGTGACCTCCATTGCTGAACGATTATAACTGGCCACCGGAATCGACGCAGCGGCGAGTAATCGGGGAATGGTGTCGGGTAATTTAGGAATTGAAGATATTAAGCGCGCGTTAATCCGAGAGAATTGGTACAAATCTGGCGCCTCGAGAGTCCACTGACATTTGAGGATCGATAACACAGAAGACAAGAGTAGCAATCTTACATCTCTACGTTTACGAATATTTCACAGTTTTCTTGGATTTTTCTTGGGGGAAATTCGACGTTTCGTTTATGGTAGAAACGCTTTAGAATGTTGTAATTCACTTTAACTGACTCCTGGTATTTTTATCAGAGAGTCCTCGATCCTTGCCAACAATCTCTCGTCGCATTTCCGGTTCCTTTAATTCGAACAAATCTCTTTTGTCGATTTACGCGACAACCAAATGTTCCAACAATTTCACGTCGTCTAAAAAGTGTGAACGTTTAGGTGGACGAATTTTAGTGCATTTCTACAAAGTGCATGCGATAAGCACTCAGCTCTATCTAAAGTGTTGGTACTTTCCATCGGTAATCAGCTGGATAAGGTATAATTCGGTAGACACGCAAGGTCCATCGTTAAATGGTAAAAAAAAAAGCAAAAGGAGTTCGATCATAATGTGTGCTTTGTTTACGCGGACACCTATTACATCATCGCGCAATGCTGATCCCATACGCGACTACGAAGAATACGACACCCCGATCTTTCTAACAGCACGATCCATTGATAAATCGCGTTTGATTTCTGCCTGTGATTAGCCGTGAAAATGGGAAAACGTTACAGGAACGCCATCGTTGGCATCTATTCGTAAATGTAAACTAGACACACAAGTACGATGCCCTGTGTTCTCTCGAGGTCGTTGTTCGATCGATTCGTCCTTCCCGAAACGATGATACGAAAACACAGGAACGAGGTGAGAGAAAAAAAAATAGTAGGTGAACGAGGTATTAATTTTGGATATTCGAGGACACTGTACGTCGAATCTAGGTGTGTGTAACGTTTGCCAATAAGGCGAGCTCTCCGTTTCGACTGGTCGACTAACACTCACCGAAATCGATGAACTGTTTTATCGAAAGCGGCGAAGGATTGAACTGTGAGTAAAAATCCAGCATCTTGCTGATGTTCCCGAGACACCTTTGCGTCAGCCTCATCTTGTTGTGCGTCGTAACACATGAAACTTTCGAGGCAGTCGGTCCTCTTTTTCCCTTCGATCCCTCGCGTCTCGCTGTCTGGTGGTTTTGTCGTTGGTTTTCAAACACTCGGCAAACTGTTACGTGTTCAGTAAGTTTGGGATCTACTGCAGGCAGGTTAAATAGCGAGGCTTCTCCGCGTAGTACGCCGGCACGAGTATAGGAGACACCTCCAGTCGCAATGGTTCGTGACAAGGCTAGACACGATTACTGGAGTTTCAAGAAAGGGATCCCCTATATGTTCACTTCCATACGCGCGACTGCGTGGTCCATGCCAGACGAATTATAGTGGGGTTGTCGAAGGCGGTACGTTTGAAATATCTCGATACCTCGTCGTTTTTTGTCGTCTTTCCTACAGAATTTTTCGTAAGAATTTCTATGGTTAACGATGCCTTTCTTTCTTTGCTAAAGTTTTCCATCGATTGCGTAAAGATTTCGAACCGATAAGGCTAGATCTTACAGTGATATATTTTGTGAAGAATTGTGTATATCGAACGTAAGGGAATTATTCGTGAAAATAATGAGAAAAAATTGTAATGCGTATTGCTCGGTGTGCAATGAAGAAAGTGTTTTACATGTTTTCATTCAGAATTCGTAATACTACAGTTACGCAAAGAAAGTATCGGATTAGTTAGGCTAGGATGAATAATTTCTTGGTGTTTTATTTGAACGGAGAATTAGCATACGAGAATTTTTTTTATTCGATTCAACGTTGCAGTTGTCCTAGTCTCAGCGTCATTTCGTATTCCGGAAGTAGCGAACAAGCATACGTGGCGCCATCGACGGTGCACGCTGCGCACAATAATCGTGGATCAATTAACCTCTGCATAAGTCACGTTTTTGGCACGTGTTACCCCTTCCTGTAATTCAACGTATCTCAGCCACAATTCGTAAGTAATGTAATGCATTGACTTGTTCCAGCTTTCTCGAAATACCTCGAATGACTTGGTAATTTTGATTTACGCGCCCGCGTTTTCAGGTTAGGTAGCCCTTGGATTTTTTGTGTCGGTCTTCTGCTAGACAGTCAGCGCCACATATTCGCTTTCGAGAAGAGAATTTCTTGGTGTTTCATAAAGTTAAAGCGATTTACAGTGTTAAAGAGGTCTCGCATCGACGAGTACGATTTGTCTACGTATTTACCAAGGTATAAATCGCTCGTCGCTAAACTTGTAACCGTATTCGGTAATTCCATTGACTTCGAAGTGACTGGCTGACTTCCGGCCAAGACAAGCCCATGTGGACAGCAGCAGCGGTGCCTCTGATCACTTCGTGTTAAGGCTGTTCCGCGTGCTCCCGTGAAAAAAAGCCTTCTCGACGGATACACGCGCGTGCACCGCGAAAGTCACGGCAGCATGGCTGATCTGGACGATTTCTTCGCGAAAAAGGATCGCAAAAAAGCGAAGGGGAAGAAGTTTACGACCACTGAGGAGATAGCGAAGAAATTGGAAGAAACGGGCAAACGAACGGTAAAGAAAACGAAAGACAAGCCAGTGAACCCGGAAAGCGAGGAGCCTCAACAAACCGAGGTGAACATCCGTTTGTTTCTCGTGTGTTTCTTTCTTATTAGCTTCCCTTAGCTTTTCTCATTGTCGAATTACGAATCGTTGACGGAAAACTGCCGATTACCGTGTGGTCCATAGGTCGCTGCCATATTTGTTCGTGCAAACGTCATTCTTACGATTGCTGAAATTAATCTGGTTACTTGGACCCACGGTATCTAACGTGATTCGTCTTCCCTCGTTGTCGAACCATCGAATTGTCTGTTATATAATTAGATCGTTTTACGCTAGCTCATATTTTTCGTTGGAAATTCGCCGTAACCGAGCAGCTGTTCTAACGTTACTATTCTGTGCGATTATTTTAATGGTTTTTTCATCGGAAATCGATTCTTTTAAACGAAAAACGTTCACTGAATACACCATCTAACTTTCTTTCTCCTATAATGTACACTGTACCTTCATGAAATCCCTCTAAAATATCTGAGTACTATGTGCAAACATTTCTGTACTATTTTACACATTTAACATCCATATATTTAGGATGAAGATGAATGGAGAGAGTTCGAAGAAGAAAAGAAGGACTACACTGGCTTGAAGATTGGAAACTTAACACTCAACGAATCTATAGATGTAGACTCTGACGATGAGAAATGCACAGGGGACAATAGCTCTGACGGAGAGTCAGGAGAAGGTGGCAATAAGCATTCTGGTCCATGGAAGAAACCAGAACTTCCACCACAGCCAGAAGTGGTAGAACCAGCAGCAGCAGCAGCAGCAGCAGCTGCAGCTGCAGCAGCAGCCCCGCTACCACCACCTGTTACTCAAGGAAGTAGTTATAAGCCGCCACACTTAAGAAATGTGCAACCAGTAACAGCTACTCCCAGACAACGAGCAAAGAATGTTGCACCAGACATACACAGCGAAGAATACTTCCCAACCTTGAACTCTAAGCAGCAACAGAGCAACGAAGCCGCTGGTCCATGGGGAAGGCGGTATGAAGCAATGATATTCCCTATTTACGAACGATTCTAGCTTATTTAGAAGAATATTTATCTAAGAAATTAACGGATATTCTTAATTTAGGAAACGAGACGAAGGTACGTTCGAAGAAGTGCGTAACCGAGGGGGAAGCAGATCGTATAGCGTGCAGGAAGCGCAAGCTCAAGCGCCGAAGCTCTCTTTGGGTAACAAATACGGTGCCCTATCGCAGGATCAGAGCTGAAATCACCCTTGACTCGATCTAAACGACAAAAAACACAATCATCATATTTACGTCATCGCCTCTCTCCGTTTCGTGGCCCAGCTACGCTATCAAATATGTTTTCTAGGATATAGAACAGAACGATGTTACGATAGAACGCGTCGTCGATTCACGTACCATGCCCTAGCTTCGAAAGGCCCGACGTTTACAAAAGAATGAAAGAAAGATAGAAAAAAAGAAAAATGATCCTGTTCAGTTTGATAGGGAGATTATCCCGCCTGCTATCGTGAAACCGAATACAGCAGGCATTTGTGCTTGCGACGAATTTCGCCGAGAACGTTTATTTCTTCACACGGTGAACAACACACACATGCTCAAAACATCATTTAGCACCAGTTTTGTATTTAATTTTTTTAAACGAAGTTAGAACGAAGGGCGGAAGGGAGAGAAAATCGCGAGAATCGGCGCGACGAACTGAAAGTCGAGGATATAACGCTCGAATGTTCGCGCGGATTGACGCGATTCGCTCTATTTTTACACGGTGCTGCTATTTTCATTTAGCGTGCTTACTTTCGATCGATCGCCTTTGAAACGTCACGGGAATATAGTAGATTAAGAGGCACTCGGATATACTCAGACGCGACAGCCATTTAAGAGGAACGATCGCGATCACGAGAGATTTTTTCAAAGTTAGGTCGATCCTGCTTGGGGCCGTGCTTCTTTTCGAGAGCAATCGTTTCGCTCAACGGCAACGTACGTCAACGAACACAAAAGTCTAGGTAAATTAAGATACATATATAAATATATGATTAATTACTTGGAAATAATGGAATTCCGGGGCTGGGCTTTGGAACGGTGTGTAAACATTGCATATACACGTCGATACACGACAGAATTGCGAGAAGAAAAATACATTGAAAAATCCGGAGATAATATACGCGAAGTATATATGATAATAGATCGTATAAGCGAGAACCGAGAGAAACGGGAGAAGAGAGACACGCACGCGTATAAACGAGCATATAATTATAAGAAACGGAAGACGTATGTACGCTTTTTGTTGACGCTTGTTTAATTATTTTTGTTGATTTAGGGGTTTCTTTCGCGAAAAGGGGAAATGTGAGATCAGAATAGGAGGGGATGTTGGAATACAGAGAGGGGAGAAAGTTTTTCCGTATGATATCGGGAAGTTTGGGGTGCTAGCACTGTTATATTTTGATGGTGAAAAAAAGTACAGATAGGAAGTGAAAAAAGGGAATAAGTTGAAGAATGAAAATAAAAAAATAAAACGAGAGCCATACACACAGGAAGAAAGAAAGAGGGAGAGAAACAGGAGCCTTGTATAGTGAACGATAAGAAAAAAAAAAATGTGATTATTTATAATAAATTTCCTAGGACAACTTATACGTACTGCCTTAAGCATTTTAATTTCGCGAACCATGGATGATGTGTCGGTAATCTCGCGGCTGGCTCTGAGGAACGCGAGACGAGAAAAATTCTATATAAAAGTACATGCTCAAAAAAAAAAAAAAATAAGAAATACGAGAGAGCGTATTTGCGATTAAGATATATAGTTTTCTTGTTCGACCGTCAGTAGTCGTTCTAACTCGAGAAATCGAAAGAAAGCACTTTTCACGGGCATTTCCACGCATTAGAGATTACGCAAATTCCATATGAAGGAGAATCTAAAGTTGTTTGTTCCCGGTCGAGTCGATCATTTTTTTCGTTCTATAGAATAGAAGCAAGTTGGAATTGTTCATTTTGTATTCGTGCTACGAAATATTTATAATATTGTATTTAGATAGCGTTTTTAAGAACTGAGAATTTGTTTCATCGTCCATTCATTTTGTACTTCTTTTTTTTTTGTTTTTCTAAAGCGAACGAACTGGTCGAATCGACTTCGTCTACTGCACAGAGGTTACCAACCCTCTGTGATTTTTCGATCGATGTTAGCCTACCCTTCGAATGGGTAGGAAAATAGAGGGTTGGTGTCCCTTGATCCGGTAAATAGGAAAATCGAATGTCGAGGGTGAGAAAGTAGAGGAGAAGAAAGAGAGTAGAAAACGTATGAGAGAAGTCGATCGATGAAGACGACGTTTCGTCAATTGTGACGTGGGACTTGGCTTGCCTTTTGTTACAGAATAGTTGAAATAATTTTATCGCGACTGTTAAGCCGAGAGAAAGCGATAGAATGACGGAGGAAGCGAACGAGTGCGGTGCGCGAAAGAGAAAGAGGATGGGGTGAAACGTGGCGAACGATGAACTTAATAATATAATAAAGTAACCGTGAGGAAACAAGAAAAGAGAGTCTCGAAATCACACGAAAAAGGATTTGTTTTACGACATCTGTTTCTTGTTCTTCGTTTTCTTTTTTATTTTTAATACAAACATAGACACACGTACACATACGTATTATAATAAACTCGCGATACTCGTGCCCGACATTTTTGTGGAAATAAAGAGAAACTGAAAACTGTTTTTTGCAAAGTAGTAATTGTACGAGATATAATTACACAGATCTATTTTCGAGAATGTACATAGATATTTACGGAGGCATCTTTCATTGTTAACACAAAGATTTTTTGGTGCTTTTGTAAAAGAAAGAAACACGACGTCCGATTTATATACACTCTGAAACGCCTTTTCAACAGATTAATTCGCTTTACGGAGAGAAATAACGTCGCTTCAATTGTTACTCGTTGCGATGGTAATTAACATGAGATACGATTTAACTCTCTGCAGTCCTGAAGGTGTTTGAGAATAAAGAAACAGTGGGAGGACAAATGGTTGGTGCGCGTTTAAAGTACACAGGTTGGGAGTGCAGAGGGTTAAATTCTAATTAATTTGATTCGACGAACGACCTTTTATTAGACTACCACGAAAAACAGTATAACGTTGAAGCGTTCATACGACGAATGGGCAAAGATATGCAAAACAGCTTGGTCAGAGCAGGTCTTCCGGCCTTATTGTACTCTCCTCGCTGGAATAAAATATATTTCGGGGGATAAAGTATCACTGAACTTCGCTTCTGTGATCGTACGAGGCTTCGCGAACATACTTTTCGCAATACTTGAGTCCGTGAGTTCCCTCGTTGCTGTACGAGCTGTACATGGGTCTCTCCAGTAACGACAGCCTGAATTTTGGTAGAAAATATATCCAGACCTTTATCAAGGTACTGACCTGAGAACAAGTTTGATAATAAATTGAGCAGATTAATTTAATAACAACGAAGTGTATTAATTGGCCAACTATAACCGCGTGCGATCATTGTTTTTCTTTTTTTAATACTTTTAGTCTTTTCTGTGTTGAAATCTACGACAGATATTTTTCTTTTCCTCCCCCTTGAGAGATTAAAATTTTTATTTTTAACAGTTTAGCAGTGGAAAAAAAAGGTCGTTAATTTAGATAGAGGAATGTATATCTCCGAAGTCAATTACCTCCTCAAAGTTATCGCTCGATTTAGCCTTGGCCTCTGAAGCCCAGAGTACGTTTTCCTGTGATCGTTCGTAAAACGTCGGATGTTCCTCTAGTTCGTCTAACTTTTTTAACATCTTTGTGTCGACGTCGTATATTTCGCCGAATACGTGCTGTTTTTGAGAGAAATTAGACGGTAGGTTAGTTAACTGTACGTATCGTTTTGTCTCGTTTAAAACACTGCACAAATCAAAAAAATTCATTCGCAGCGCTAAATTTTAACGATTGGTGTTAATTGTTTAATAAGGCACACTCGAAAATATATAATAATACTTATATATTAGACTCACAAAATTGAAATTTTCTCAAGAAACATTCGAGTAAAGATTTTAGCGATGTTTAAATATAACGAATGCGTTTAATTTTAAACAAGTTATACAAAAGGATGTTCCCTCATAGAAAACTTTGTTCCTACGACAATGGGTGACAGATCCTATCGTCATCTACTAAAAAATTGTCGAAACTAATCAATTAACAACATTATCTACAAATACATGCAGTACTTACGTGACCAATTCCAGGCTTCTTTAATAAAAACGGTATGTTATATTTAGTTGCAATTATCAATGGATACTTCACGGTGGTTCTTCCGAGTCCCAAAAACTTGGCGTATCCATTTGCAAAGTCTTGGATTAAACTGTGATTGGGTTCTCCTCGTTTAAGTGTTCCATATACGAACACACGGTGAAGGGGATTCTTGAACAGATTTTCGTACATTTTGAGTTTGAATTCGTTACGTCAGTTATATCAATAGATTCCTTAGAAGATAATCTATCATTTTAAGTAACAAATTCCTAGTTTAAAACGCTATTTATTTTATCTTTTTAAATATTCACTTCGCTGTCGATAACGACGTGCGACAAGTTTGAGCCGTTTTCAGAGAGACAGCGCCACTGATCAATTCCTCGTAAAAAAAAAAAAAAGAAATTATTCTTGGTTGTGGGCGAACCAAAGTCCTCTCTTTATTCAGAACAAGCCGATTCGTTCGTTTTATACAACGGTTCACCGCGAAATATCAACTCACACAAAGTCTTCTCGTGTCTCTTGAAGTATTATTACGATCAACGAGTACGAAATACGTTGGAAACAAATTACGACGACACACTCGACGACATTTCCCGTGATTCCTCACACCAGAGGTCGTGCGTGTTCACTTGTTTGCCGGATACCGCTTCCATCAGCGAATCCACTGCATTTCCGGCATTCGTACGCGTGACAAAACGAAACACTCTTAACTGAAACGTTACCTAGAATTTTCCTATCGAAATCTGAATTATTATTCCTAAAAATAGTCGTCTTTTCTTCCCAATTACTTCCCCTTGTATTCCTACGTATTATTCCATTCAATCGGCATCGCTGTAATATACTCGAACCCCTGTTCCTACGTTTGAACAATGTTTCTCGGTAATTGTGAACGAAAGAAGGTAAAATTGAACGGAGGATTTACCTCGTCTGACAGGTACTGAACGTCCCGACCTTCTGGGATGTCATAGAACGAGTAGATCTCCAGAAACGCGATGTTGGTCAGCACGGCCGCGGCAGCAATGTGAAATAACATTGTCGGAAATTGCAACAGGGCAAAACTAGCGTTATTCACTAAGCGTCCAGTGCGTATAACCCTGGCCTCACTCTCGCATGGGGGGGTCAACGGTTCAACAGATAAAGAGCTTTCGCGACACGGAACACAGTCATGCTATTTTGTCGTTTTTTTTTCGATTAGTATCGTCGGTTTTGTTTTTTACATTCTATCTCTATCCTTTTGCCGATACGAACTCCCTCGACGAAGGACGCATCGTTTTCTCGCGCAATTGTTATCTCTGTGAAAAATTGTCCGATACCACGATTCGTTTAGCGTATATCGGAAAAGTTGGAGGTTTAAAATGTTGAAAAATAAAAAGAAGTCGTTCGTTGGGGTAATTATTCTTTCAACGCGTATTTAATATTTCAGATATTTATTGAAACGTCAGATTGATATTTTCCCGAAGGATTTGACTCTCTTTCGACACGAAATCTTGAAAAGTTTCGCTATCCAAGGGTTCTCCACTTTGTCTCTGCTGCAAAAGTTCCTCCAACGAATTCCAGTTTACTTCGTCCTCTTCTCTCAGGTCCCGTCCCTTCAAATATAGACGCAAAAGGATGAGAGGAGCTTATTAGAGCCCGAGGACGTTCCATTACCTCGAGGAGAACGTGCAGCAGACCTCTGCTTCTATCTCCAAGCAGCATGTAATTTTGATAATAGAGACAGTTTATCAATTCTTGCAAGATACTCTTCGTCAGATGATTGTCTAAATCGATAAGAATCTCCTATCAGTTTCTCTCTAGTTGAAATACAAATAAAAATAATTACAGCTGAGATCTAGATATTGCAGCTGCAAATTTCCGGTCGCCATTATCTCCCCGTTCATCGGGAAGCTCTCTTTTCTGAAAGGATGAGATTTCTCGCGTCCCAGGATTAGTTTAATCTTCTGCAAACGTTCGCAAATAAGAATCATCACTCTGAGAAACTTTCAAACAAATTTCATCATTTTTGCAATCATTACTTGGACAAATTCCTCTTCTACCGTTTTTATCGGAAACTCCGGAAGAGCTGTGAACGACATACAGAACTGAGGGGTACAGAATATACAGAATTATAATTTTACGCAAGTTATACATTTTCTAGATCGTCTATTTAAACTTTGACGCGTTCTCGATTTAACGCTCCTCCTTGATGGTTCTTCGCCCATCGTTTTATCGGTCTCCTCGTTCTCTCTCCTCTCCGTCTAATCAGTTTCCAGTAATTCCGTGAAATTATTAGTTCGAGACGCGCGGGGCAAGAAGTTAGTTTAAATAACGATCAGGTTACCCATTCATCTAGCAACGTCAGCTCCGCGAATTTCCTCCGACGAACCTCGACGATCTCCTCGTGTGTTAGGGTAATTCTAATTTGATTTCGTAAAGTATGTTAATTAACTTGGATACCGATTTCGCGTAGGTTCACTTGCAATAATTTATGGATACATTCTAAGCTCCTGTAGTATCAACGATGCTCCCTCGTCGCATATTCTGTTCCCAAGTAAAACCAGACATCTCAGAGACCTGCAATTTCAAGGAAGAAACGCTTTTTATTAATTCGTCGTTTTTCTCTTCTTCGGAGATGTCGATTTTTCTCCTCGCCTGTTTGTCCGAAGCATTCGAGCAACGTGAAACGCTCCATCCTTCGTCACATGATTGTGTGCTAAGTTCAGAATGATTAGTTTAGGATTATTCGGTGGATCCTGGTAACGCAATTCCTTTGCGATCTTCTCTACTCCTTCGTCGGTGATGTTGCAAAGTCTCAGAGACAAGTATTGCAAGCTGCGGATGATCGTGCGTTCGAATATAGTCTGATGGTTGAATTTGATCAATTTCCTACCTTCCAGCAGGTGTGCAAAGTAGATGATAATTTTCCTGGGCGTTTGGATTCATGTCCAGGTTCAACTCTTCCAGACATCCGATATTCTTCGTCATTTCTGCTATTTGCATCACGCCGTATGCGTTTATCTTGCAGTCGGACAATCTGCAGGAACGTTGGATTGTAATTAAACTTTTCGTTTCTTTTCAATCTGTGACCGGAGAAGAGGTTGCGTTTAATTTACTTCAAAATTGTGACGGTATTGTACATTTGCATGGTAGAATTCAGTGCGTCTAATATGCAGATCGATACTTGGCGGCCTGTGATTGAATAATTGTATTAAACAACGTATGTGCGTTGAGAATGTGATGTTTCAAAGGTACTCATCTTTGCTCTCGATTCTCGTCGGTGTTGCAGACCTCTTATTTTCGTACGAGAAATAAAATACGGGAGCCTCGTCGTCTTCGGTTCTTAAAAACGTTGCAACGAGGTGATTATTGCGTTAAGATCGATCAGGTTCGATATTTAGGGATAATTACGTTTGGGACTCGGTCGACGGGGTACTCGGAACTTGAGAGTCCATTAGGCTTTTCTATTTGCAATCGTTCCCCGTGAAAAAGGGTACTTTGAGCGTAGAAATAACGAAGAAATTGCGTAAAGAGACTCACTATGATTTTGGGCAAAGGAAGAACATTGTATTCCTCGGAGTATTTCAAAAATTCGGCGGCGAAATTCTCTCTAGCAGTATCTCCTGTTAATTCAATCAGATAGCCTCTGTGTTGTGATAAAGAAGGGCATTTAACAATCTACCTGCTATCGATGACATTTTGTCTCTGACAGAGGTACTGTATTTGCTTCTTTTATCCATTGCGACTTTTCCTACGTAAAATTCTTGCTGGGTAATTCTCTTTCACGAGGTTAAAGTAAATTGTCACGGAGGACAATTGACAGAACGTAGAAACAGAAGAAGTGAAATAACTGAAGTAACAAAGTGTAATGTCACATGCGTAACAGACCGTACCGACCAGCCGAACAATAACATCGCTATTTTCAATAGACGGCACCTTCTAAAAAGCGAGATCTTAGCCGGCACGGGCAAATTACTCACACCTGGACACCACATGCCCTAAGCAACAAAACAGACCTTCGACATCACCGATATTCAGACAAGCAGTGTAACAAGTGTAAGAACAAATTCCCCACTTTCACACCACCAGCAGACACACCCCAAACACACCGAAGAAACCAATCACAACACGTACGTAGTTTATAAAATAGCGAACACCACACGACACCACACACAATTTTCCTATCAGTAAGCCTAGACATTTCGCGCTCTGCACAACGTTCATTCACAAATATATAGTTTTAAGAGAAAATTGTTGTACGTTAATAATCTATCTTTCGAGCACTACCCGGGTCCCCTATCCCGAGTAGAGTCCTTAAATGGTCAGACTCAAAAAGAGGGACAATTATCGCGATTCGTGACAGTAATAACGTGCTTGGTGTCTTTTACAGAACGATGGGACAACGAAACGTAACACCAGCGATAAATCCATAAACGCTGGCGCCTGTAAGCCCCGTAAAGGCGAGGGAGACCCTCTCATAAATCAGCCATCCCACGGTGGAAAAGTGTCGGGGCAACATCCCCTGTGGACGAAGCAGGGAGAAAGTTTCGAGCTATAATATTTGAGGGTATAACAGAGCGGTTTCTCCTATGTATTTCGACCTGGTTTATTTCATTTTCTGACGGAACGTTGTTTAAAGAACGAGCGTTTTCTTTTCGTTTTCGCGAAATTCTTCGAAAGAATTGCGGTCCACGGGAAGCTACAGAATCTTTCCTTCATTCCTGCGGTGGTCTTGTACCCTCCATATGTGATTTGAACGAAAAGAACATTAATTTTCAAACGTTAAATAAAAGTTATAAACAATTTCTAACTAATCTGCTGCATGCAATTGTTAATTAAACTTAGCTGTTTTAAATTGTTATTTAACAAGAGACACTAATTATTTTCGATTCGGAGACTTGTGAGAAAACGTTGACTTGCACTACTGGCTAATTCGGAAAAATTTCGAACGTCTGAGATATGGTCGACTCGCGGGATAGTTCAGAAAATTGAAGAGTCGGACGAAAATCAGAGGGTCAACCATAAGTCTGACGTCGAAATTTGTTAGTAGTAAAGCCAACCATATCTGACACGCTCGAGAATTTTTCGGAATAGTTAAGTAGCGCGAGTCAACCGTATTATTTGGAGTTACTGTAGGACAAGGCACACCATGCCAGACTGAGAAATAAAGAAAATACCAATCAACTTTGTCTTTACTTTAAAGGGTAAGTTCTATGTGAATCGTTGCTCAAGTGTACAATTATCTTACAATAAATAATTCATCTTTTGACAAATAACTGCATTTCTTCATTTTTCATGAAATTCAAGTCCTTTCCTCGATTCCAGTGGTATCCTAAAAGTTCCTTCTGTAATTCACACGAAAAGAACATTTAATACGTCCAATAATTATATACCGCTATCTAAATTGTTATTTAAGGAGAAGCATTAATTATTCTATAATTAAAGTACTTGGAAATACAGCAGAAACTGTATTTTACTATCTACATTATTAGTAACGTTAAAAGAATTAAAAATTGAGTATAAGTATCAATTAAACGTAATAGGGATGACGAGGAAGGGAATACAGTAATGAGTTAGAGAAGGAAACGAACAGCGGTAGATAAGGATAGGACTGTAGCAATGAGTAAGACAAGGAAAGCAATAGGGATAGACAAGGACGGAAGAAAATGTCGGCCGAGAGTAACGCCATCTCGCGTTAGGTGACGCGAACTACCATTTCTTAATAGGAACACAGGATATAAACAGAGGTATTAGACAAGGAAAGCACTAGTGTGCGACAAGGACAGAGAGAGAGAACGCTTCTCATTGGCTGGCGGGTCGCCATGGTCCACCAACCAGGCCTTAAATAAATCGGTCAATGAGAAATCGTTAATAACTCGATAATTAGGGTGATTTTGTGAACTTTTAGAATTGAAGAATGAAGTGTGGACATTCAGCAACTTTCACGTATAAGTTTCAAGGCTCTAGGACCTTTCAGTAATTAGTTATTAATATTAATATCGAGACCGATACGGCAGTCGCTTACGCAACATCAAGCCGGTCGATGAAAAATCATTAATAACTCGATAATTAGGACGATTTCGTGAACTTTTAGTATTGAAGAATGAAGTGTGAACCTTCAGAAACTTTCACGTATAATTTTTAAGGGTCTGGGACCTTTCAATAATTAGTTATTAATATTAATATCGGGAAGGGTAGGACAGACCCTTGCTCTACGTCAAGTCGGCCAGGGAAAAATCGTTAATAACTCAATAATTACTATGATTTTGTGAACTTTTGGAATTGAAGAATAAAGTGTGGACTTTCAGCAACTTTCACGTATAATTTTTAAGGCTCTAGGACCTTGCAATAATTAGTTATTGATATTAATATCGGGATCGATATTAAAGTCGCTTACGCAATATCAAATCGGATAGAGAAAAATCGTTAATAACTCGATAATTAGGAAGATTTTGTCAGCTTTTGATATTGAAGAATGAAGCGCGAGCCTTCAGCAACTTTCACGTGTAGGTTTTAATGCTCTAGATCCTTTCGATAATTAGTTATTAACAATTTAGTACGGGATGTCGGGAACGATACCGCATACCGTCGAGCGTCTTTACGGTTTCTCAATAATTTCATAGCTTTCCCCTAAATTCTCATACAACTAACTATATGCGTTTGAAAGGCAACTTCTTTAGCTACATTCCCATGTAAGTTTTGTTAACATATTCCGTTTAGTTTACTAGTTACTAAATATTATATGAGAGTGTTCCCTATACATCGTACTCGAATATAGTCAACTGTTATAAACAATTGCTAATATCTAATAAACCACATTCCGTACGGCTACGAAAATTATTGGAGAATGTAGATAAAAGTCCATTCTACATTCTTTATGCTCAAAAGTGCATAGTTTGTCACGCATATCTATTGAAATAACGAAAATGTGCTAAGCTTGAATGCGACGGGTGCGATACTCACCCAAAGAATATTAAATAACTATCGAACCACAAGGGATATGTTAATAAGAATTGCAGGAGAATGTAGCCAAAGGAGCTCCCTTTCAGATGCATATGATAATTTTACCGGCAATTAATCGTGAACAATGATATTAATGAAAAACCGTAAGGTACTGTCGGATCGTTCCCGACAATGCTAATAACAATAATTAATAACTAATTATAGAAAGGTCCGAGAGCCTTAAAAATTATATGTGAAAGTTGCTGAAGGTCTATACTTCATTCTTTAGTACCAAAAGTTTATAAAATCATCGTAATTAATGAGTTATTAATGATTTCTCTCTGTCCGATTTAGTGTTGCGTAAGCGACTGCCGTATCGGTCCCGATATTAACATTAATAACTAATTATTGAAAGGTCCTAGAGCCTTAAAAATTATATGTGAAAGTTGCTGAAGGTCTGCACTTCATTCTTCAATACTAAAAGTTCACAAAATGATCCTAATTAATGAGTTATTAACGATTTTTCATCGATCGGCTTGATTTAGGGCCTGAAAGGTAGAGCTCACCGGCCCGCCAGCCAATAGGAAGCGTTCTCTCTCTGTCCTTGTCGCACACTAGTGCTTTCCTTGTCTAATACCTCTGTTTATATGATGATTTCCTATTAAGAAATGGTAGTTCGCGTCACCTAACGCGAGATGGCGTTACTCTCGGCCGACATTTTCTTCCGTCCTTGTCTATCCCTATTGCTTTCCTTGTCTTACTCATTGCTACAGTCCTATCCTTATCTACCGCCGTTCGTTTCCTTGTCTCTCTTCACTATTGCTATTCCCGCCAACCTTGTTATCTTTAATTAATACTTATAATCAATTTCTAATTGTTCCAACATCACTTATAGTCAGTAGATAGTAAAAAACCGTTTCTAATTCATTCGAAAGCACTTTAATTATAGAAAAATTACCGTTTCTAGTTAAATAACTATTTAGATGGTGGTATATAATTATCGAAAGTATAAAGCATGCAACTTTATTTAACACCGTTAGTTAACAAGAAATACCAATTAC